CTCTATTTGATCCTGTAATTGATGTGGGCCTGCGAAAAGTCAAGGTTTTAAGTGGGCTGGAAGTACCCCGTCCCACTATCACGTGGATATTTCGGTCGCGTCAAAATAAAGGTGTGCTATAAATTAACGGATCACTGTTTCCATCCAAACGAATTAAGTTAAATGAATCATATCTACGGTTTTAAGTAAAGCGCAGTGACTGTCGCAGTTTGAGTCAGCCTCATAGTACGTATTTGCGGCGTACGTGACTCACACCGGAATGAAAACGGACTTAGTTGTAATGATCGGATGAGTTATGATACCAAGGTTTTTTTTATTTTTATTTAAACCTTTACATGGACGATTTCAGTTACATAAACGTGCCACAGAATAGAGTTGAAAGAGTAGCAGATATTACCTGTATCACATAGAAATGTTAAACTAATAAAAAAATTGGTTTTTGGTGGAAATATCTGACAAACAGTACTAGAATTAAATACAGGTAAATGTGTTATAAACCAAGAAATTTTACATCTTCAAAATATACAATATACAAAAATATATCTTGAAAATATATGTGCACGGTACAAAATTAAATATCGGTCGGTCATATAAAATTACTAAAAATTATGTAGATAAGTTTTAGAAGTTTTAAATCAACCAACCGAATTACACACAAGTATTTAGGTCTATCTATGCCTAATTAGCACTAAATGACAGCATCAATTAGGCAAACATTAAGCCTTTCGCAATTTTTTTTTTAAAAGTCTGACTTTTTGGCGGGAACGCAAAGTGTGAAGTTGTGTGAATTGTTTTATTTTGTATATTTAGTGTTTAATCAGGTTTAAATGTGTAATAACGGCGGTTTATTAACTCTTTAGCATCTGTGAAAGTGCACAAAGGTGGGAAAATGAAACAAACACGTTGGACATAGTTTTCGGTTTCTTCCAAAAAGTTTTAGTAAATAACCACCATTTTATCAAGATTTTATTTCATCCCATCTCACCTCGTTACATTTAATTTCTAAATTCTAAAATTAATCACACTCTAATATTAATCAACTTGATCTTATTTAGTTTCTATCATTTTTCATATTATAACAGAATGTAAGAACAAATTAAAAGACTTGACTTAAAAGTCTCGTTACCAGGCTACAAAATATTAAAAAAAATTATTCAAATCTCAAAAAGTATTATATCAACATTCGGCCTACTTGGTATACTGAGCCAATTAATTAAATTTATTTAATATTTATTATAAAAAAAATAATTACATAATATTCCTAACCTAAAAATAACTGCTAGTACCTGTTAGTACCTGTGTAAAGTACATGTTATTATCCGCAACATGCTTCGTTGTCAGATTACAGAAAATTACAGATTAATTAAATTATGTACTAAAATAGTTTTACTTTACTTTTAAATTTATAAAATTCATTTTTGTTTTCTCTTAGTGTAATTTTAATTAATTCTTGATGAGATTAAGAAACGAAAAAAGAAATGTTAATTTAAAACAATTTGTTCACATGTCTCATGTCTGGGTGCGTGGTGAAAGTCACTTTGAGGTATCTATAGGTTCTACTTACCATTTAATACCTTGTTTGTGAGTTTATATAAATCAATTCGAAAATAAAAAATTATTGTACTAAAGTTGCTATTTTTACTGCCTAATTTGTTTTATTTTAATATATGTATGTCCAGTGCGACCGGTCCATTGCCACCTGCATCCAACGAGACCCAGCGCTTTTTACTAGGTCGCCGGTCCATCTAGTAGGTGGCCGTCCCACACTGCGCTTGCCAGTACGTGGTCGCCACTCCAGGATCTTTCTGCCCCATCGACCGTCCTCTCTTCGTGCTATGTGGCCGGCCCATTGCCACTTCAGTTCACTAATTCTACGGGCTATGTCAGCAACCTTCGTTCTTCTACGGATCTCCTCATTTCGGATTCGATCACGTAGAGNCATTATGCTGGCGCCTTGGAAGGGTTTCGCAGACATTCCCAGGACCTGATGGCATAACCAGAGTGGCGGAAATTCGTACTGCGACGGGGAGCATACGGCGGTCACTCATTCGTCTATGTCCTCTATTCAATGGCCAAGAAACCTAGGAGTGTTGAAAGAAGACTCTTTCAACGGGGGGGAGTATGTCGCGGCGCCTGACGCGTTCGCTACAGCAAGCTAGCCAAAACATTTACTACTACCGGCACCGCGCGCTGACAGCATTCAACAACAGTCTGAAGATACCTCCCAATAATCATTATTGACACAAGACCTTCCTTTTGTCGAGAAAGGTCACATTCCAAGATTCATCGACGAACAATCACAACCAAACCATTGTATAATAATAATTAAAGCAAGTAGCAAGAGTGCAATTGGTTTTATTAAAGAAACAATAAGGCCACAGTGTCTCGCGTAGACACTAAATATTGCGGCATCGTTTTGTTTGTGTGTATGTATTTTTTGTGTCCAAAAAATAAATATGTACTCACGTATACTGAGAAGTTCTTGGGAGCTGATTCAATTTTTCCGTCGATGGCGAGTAACTTCGACATGTGCTCCAACGAGAACCCCGTCACTTCTATTATCGCGTACGTCTTTATGACTGCAATTAAAATAGGTCTCAATTACTTAGTGATTCATGTTTGTTTAGTCAACTAAAGTGGCGGATGAAAGGCGATTGCATGCAGCAGAGATGCGAATATTGCGATGGATGTGTGGAGTAACGAGAATGGATAGAATACGGAATGAATATGTTAGAAGAAGTCTAAAAGTGGCACCTGTGACAGAGAAGCTGAGGAGTGCGCGTTTGGTATGGTATGGACATGTGGTGAGACGAAATGAAAATGAGGTTGGTAAGAGAGTGTTAACTATGAATGTGGAAGGATATAGAGGAAGAGGTAGACCTAAGAAGAAATGGATGGATTGCGTGAACGACGATATGGGTAAGAGGGGAGTGAGCGAAGAAATGGTATATGATAGATGAGTATGGAAAGAGAAAACATGTTGGGCCGACCCCAGGTGACTGGGAGAAGGGCAGGATAATGAATGATGTTTATGGAGGGTAGTGGCATGAAGCACCATCTTCGATAGGAGACAAGTTGGAAAAGTGTCCATTTGTAAACAGCAAGTTCATGTTGAAGACTCATCGAAATAGCGTCCGCACGAGTAGGTACCCCCACCCTGTCTATTTCTGCCGTGAAGCAGTAATGCGTTTCGGTTTGAAGGGTGGGGCAGCCGTTGTAATTATACTGAGACCTTAGAACTTATGTCTCAAGGTGGATGGCTTATGGCTTATTTACATTGTAGATGTCTATGGGCTCCAGTAACCACTTAACATCAGGTGGGCTGTGAGCTCGTCAACCCACCTAAAAAAAAAAAGTTTTGCCACTGCGTTCATCGACAGTGCGTTTCCAGAGGTCTTTTTTGCCACGTACCATCCGGCTATGGAATGAACTCCCCTCCACGGTGTTTCCCGAGCGCTATGACATGTCCTTCGTCAAACGAGGCTTGCGGAGAGTACTTAATGGTAGGCAGCGGCCTGGCTCTGCCCCTGGCATTGCTGAGGTCCATGGGCGACGGTAACCACACCATCAGGTGGGCCGTGTGATCGTCTGCCTACAAAGGCAATAAAAAAAAATGGTTTGCAGTCGTCGCTACGGTTCTGGTGTCGACTGTACGTACCCAGGTAGCCGGGGAATCCCTGGAAGGCCCAGCAGTCGGCCGGCGCGGCGCCCGCCGTGAGCGCGTTCCGCGGCGACGTGTGCACCCACAGCACCGGCACGCCCAACACCCAGTACTGCTTCGACTTTATCTGGTACAGCTCCGTGCACCGCGTCGACAGCACTTGGCCCCCTGCGCATACATCACGTTACAGATATAGGGCGTTGAGTGGTTAGTGGAGTCCATGGATATCGCTGCCTGAATGCCACCACCCACATTGAGACATTACACCGTGACAGCTTACAGTATACAATTACGAATATGTAATCCTACCCTCAACATACCGATAAAACTACTAGGTAGAAGAAATTTTACACGAAAGGATAGCAAGCATGGTGCCTATGTCGAGACGGTGCCATAGACAAGCGGGCGACTTGCAACGATCGTCTGGTGTAGTGGTAAGTGACATGGTCACTACACAAGGGGGTCGCGGGTTCGAATCCCGCCAAAGGAAGATATTTGTATGATAAATATAAATGTATTTTCCAGGGTTATGGATGTATATTAAATATATGTACGTGTATGATAAAAATCTTACATTTATTTCCGTTATCTGGTATCTGTAACACTAGTTCTTTACGAACTTAGCACGGGACCAGTTAACGTGGCGTGATTGTTACTAAATATTTATTTATTATTATTTATTTATTTATTATTATTTATTTGCAAGAAGGTATGAAAACTGGACAGTTAAGATAGTAGAAAAAAAAAAAATTTCTGCCTAGACAAAAATAAAGAATTGGTTTAAAAAAATAATAATATTGACATAAATTCATCGTAATTTTAAATATCGTTTCCTAACGTAACTAACTCAGAAAAAAATAAACACGAAATTCGAATTAGTAGTCGTGGCCTAATAAAGGATGAGACGTCCGGTGCATTCGTATGTAGCACCGGTGTTCGAATCCCGCAGGCGGGTACCAATTTTTCTAATGAAATACAAAACGTACTTAACAATTGTTCACGATTGACTTCCACGGTGAAGGAATAACATCGTGTAATAAAAATCAAACCCGCAAAATTATAATTTGCGTAAGTACTGGTGGTAGGACCTCTAGTGAGTCCGCGCGGGTAGTTACCACCGCCCCGCCTATTTCTGCCGTGAAGCAGTAATGCGTTTCGGTTTGAAGGGTGGGGGGCAGCTGTTGTAACCATACTGCCAGCTCCAGGCTCCAGTTACCACTTAACACCAGCTGGGCTAAGCAATAAAAAAAAAGCTATACCTAATTCGTTTTTACTTAGTTTCGATTTAAAGTTATAAGACAAACATACCACCCTATCTCATATTAGTTCGCATACTGACCGGCACTCTCCAAAGCGTAGTCCACGAGTCCAGTTTTATCAGCATCATACACTTCCAGCATCCCGGCGACGAGCGTCCTCACTGCCTCCATATCCACTCCAGAACCGAATTGCTGCACCTCGACATCCTTTACGTGTTCCTCCACCTTCTGCACGATAACCTCCAACTGACGACGTTCAAACAACGCCAAATATTCTTGAAGGATCTCTTTTATTCGATCTTCGTCCAACTCGGCTTGACCAATGTTGGCCAAACGTTCGTTTAATACCAGACTGGCCTCTCGCAATTGGTCTGGTGTGACGTAATTCTGATCAAAATACGCTTTCAATTTCAAAGCCAGAGCGTCCGTATTGTCTCTCGTTAAGATCTGCATTAGGTTTTGTTGCAGATGCATCAGCGAATACTGCTCTATTTGAGATTCGATGTTGTCCAATTTCGACAGCTTTTGATCGAAAAGTTTGAGGCGGCTGTCGACGCTTAACGCCCAAGCTTCTAAAGCTCTCATCCGATCGGCCAGATCAGAATCCTGAGATATTCGCGGGGAGGAGTACGCGTCGTCAAGGATCTGTTTCTCTTGAATTATAAAATCTGAATAGTTGTAACCTGAAAACGAAAAAGAAACATCAAATTTTGTTAAACATTCACCCTCTGTCCTTCCCACATAATTTCATTTATTTACGTTGGTTAAAATTCGACTTTAAGTACGGGGAAGGACAGAGCTATATAATTATAATATTGTATTGAAATTTAAACTCACCCAAAGGTGTAGAGTCGCTCAAGCTAGTCCACTTTATATTAGGTGATATTTGCCCTGTAACCTTCCCCGGAATTAAAGAGATATCGCACTTTTAATCCCGAAAAGACTTATCATATCTCGAGGCAAAGGAGTTAATGATAGAATTATCGAAAAATATTATTCAATTAAAAACTGTTTTTTTTTATTCCAGAGATCTCTTTCAAATCTAATTACTTCAAGTATCGTTATGCTGGTATTGAATTAAACGTGCGAATTTTATATACAGGGAAGAATTATGTGGGAACAGAATAAAAACTTAATTATTTAAAAATATATATTAAAATCAAAATTATTATCCACAATAAAGCCCAGCACATTAGTATAACACAACTTTGAACATTTTTGTTCTTTATTATATCTCTTATTTGTACACAATTATTGTGATGTTTTATTATAATAAAATGTACTAGTGTTGAATTTAAGTTATAAAGTTCGTTGGTACATATTTTGAAAGATTAAACCTATTGAATAATTTTAATTGTATACATTTTTTTTATAAATGAACAATTTTAATTGAATAAATCAAATACTGCTTTGTCTTAGAAAACAAAGAATGTGACATTAAAATATAATTTAAATAAAATAATCATTATATAAATTTGAAAACATTTTCCTATGAATACTACAATAAATACAATACAACTTTTGAAGACAAAATAATGTGAAATATATTTTTTCTCTCAATTTTAATATGACTAGGGGAAGTAAACTTTTAATCAGCTATATCAAGAACTCGAATCATATAGATTGAAATATTATAGGCGGATTTTTTTTTTAAATTTCCAAAACTTAAACTACAATATTAAAGCAGTACGTGACTCAGACAAAGACAAAGATATAACATATAAATAAATTCAGTTGCCTTCTATAATAAAACAAGAAAACTAAAAAAAAAAATTATGAACAGAGTGCCTAAAATAATCGACTAAACTGCCAAAAAAAAAACAATTTTCCATTAATAATACAAGATTTTGTGAACACTAGAAACTTATAAACTAAAAAAAAAAACTCCATTATGGCCGCGTCATGTTAATTTAAGGTACAACAATTATGGTGCTATAATCACACACGATACTTGCATATTTAGCGAGGGCCTTATTCGCAATGAAATGAGATAATATTGGCGATAGCGATATACGAGCACGTCGATCCAGAACAGTGTGAAAACGAGTTAACCATATCGAGAGGTGAAATATTTTGGTTTAAGCGACATTTACGCCCCCTTTATCTTTATAATTAAAGGTACGTTTTATTTGGTATTAGCATCAACATCAGCAATGATTGTGTATAACAACAATAATTGTTCGGATTGAAAAGAAAACGAAGTATTTTTTTTTATTGCCCTTGTAGGCAGACCAGCATACGGCCCACCTGATGGTGAGTGGTTACCATCGCCCATGGACTTCAACAATGCCAGGGGCAGAGCCAAGCCACTGCGTAGCGTTAAGTATCGTGTATTAGCACCATAAGCTTCTACTCCTTGTATTGTCTTGATCTGCTGTCTTTAATATAAATTTCGCTTTAAATAATTATTTATAATCAATAAAGAGATGCAACATTGGAGTCACATTAAAAAAATTAAAGACTTTTTTTAGAAGTACATGAAAAAAAAAAAATTTGCAATAAACCGATGCATGCTACAGACGTAACCTGGTCGATTTTTATAACTTGTAAGTTAGAACAAAACAAAACAAAGAATAGAAGTATGACTAAAAAACTTACAAACTAAACAATTCAATATTAAATAATTAAAATATTAATTATAATATTATAGAATCATACAACACATCACTATAGCGGAATGAATAAGCGACGATAATATTAAAATTATAATGTATGCATTTTGTTGCAGCAATCGATAATAATTAATAAATAATAAATAAATATTTGTACTTATACGTAAGTTTAGTAGGTATGCTTAAAAAACTGCGCGCGAAAATGACATTTTGTGACAAAAAATCTAACCCAGTAATGCTTTTATGCTTTTGTTCTAAATATAATTTTAAAATAAATATTATTCAATATAATTTTGTATTCGACATAACAACAGAACTTTCTGAGACATTATGTTTGTAATAAATATTAAGTACCATAAATGTTGTTAGTCTTTTACCCAGTTTTTTTTAAAATGAACCAACACAATTTTATTGCACAGCAAACATTAATATATAAAAAAAAAAAAAACAATAATTATGAATGTATTTTGTAGCATATACTCATACTAGTCCAATAGAATGTCCAATATTGATTGCTCAATGTTCCATTTTCTGCAAATATTTGTTAATTATAATAATTCTATATAATACATTTTTGTTCTTATGTTTCATGGGTATATAAGGTGATTAACACAGTCCATGGACATCATGAAGTGAATGCCGTGACTTTATTGAGACATGAGGTCAAAATCTCTTTATCATGACAGTCCTATATCCTCAATACATCCCTCATGAAGTGGCTTTTTTTGAAATGTTTTAAAGATAATTCATTGTAGTTTTCTGTAGGTCACTAAACAAAACCCTGATATAACTTGGACCGTACTAATATTGATTTAGAGAAATCTGGCATCTATGAATAAAAGTTTATTTGCACAAAAAAACTTTGCTAAGTCATTACATATATTTTGTGGACCAAACTATAGTGATTCACTTTAGGAAAACCAGAATGTTCAGTAGATAAATTGACTTTCCATCTACAGTTTTAATCATCAAGGATTAAAATATATTTTTAAGTTCTTCAATTTATTGGTGATATTCTTAGTCGTAAGCGAGAATAGGTTGAGCAACACAAATTTCAAGTTCACCGCCACNTTTGCTAAGTCATTACATATATTTTGTGGACCAAACTATAGTGATTCACTTTAGGAAAACCAGAATGTTCAGTAGATAAATTGACTTTCCATCTACAGTTTTAATCATCAAGGATTAAAATATATTTTTAAGTTCTTCAATTTATTGGTGATATTCTTAGTCGTAAGCGAGAATAGGTTGAGCAACACAAATTTCAAGTTCACCGCCACAGGTTAATCATATTATTTGAACATTTGAAAAATCTTATGATAATTTTAATACGCATCATTAAAAATAATAATTAAAGTATTTAACTTTATAATTCTATGGATTTTGATCCATCGCTGAATATATGTATATTTTAATTTTTTTTTATAAACTTAAAACTTTAAATTACTGCAAATATTTATTTAGCTCTTCATTTCTGATATATTGTGTATGTGCTTAATGGAAGTAGCGTTACAAAGACAATATGTTGATTGGAAGTCACAGACTTCACGCTGAGCTCAAATTAGATAAGGGATAAGTTCTGAGCAGTACTTCTTTTTAGATATATTTGCAAATGGACCAAAATCATCAGATATTAGTAGACACAACTTTGTCGACATGAATCATATTAGCTTTAGATTTAGAAATATCTTTATATGACGTCATAGCCATATAAATTGGTATTGTTTAAGGCTTTTATGATGGACTTTGAACAAAGCTGTAGGTGTGACTTAACATCAAATGATCCCGCGCCACAATCGTCTCATCTCTTCGAAGCAGCTCTCTGCGACGACCTTAACGTATTCCGAGGTGTCGGCCATTCTGTTCTGAACGATGTCTTTGTACTCTCTGTAAGCTTTGCCTACTTCGGGCATGTTGTCAGTTATTGCCGGCATACTTATATTAATTTTCGGCATGCTTATATCGGTCAAAATGTTCTGAGGCACAGTTATGTTGGGCAGACGGAACGCGGGAAGCCTGCTCGAGAACTCGGTCAGATTTAATTGGAAATCTGTAAAATTTACCATCGCTAGACGTTCCCAATTTTCATATGTGTAGTGTGCTGTAAGGAATTTACATTATTAAATATATTACTGCTAACTTACTTGAATATAAAAAAGGAATACTTATTCATAAACTATATATATATCAATTTAATTTAACAACTTTGAGTATAAGCCTTTAAAAAAAAAACAAAATCGGTAAACAAACAAAGCACGAATACAGAACCTTCTCCTTCTGTTGAAATCGGTTAAAAGCGCTGAAGGTTCACCACAAACATACACATGAGTACAACTGTCATAGAATTAATTTAAATACACATCTATTTCATTTATCTGAAACAGCGACTATTTTTAATACGCTTTTATTAGCTTCAGACGTATGTATGTTAGTATGTAACGGAATCTTTGAACATGACTTTGAACCTCTTCAAAACGCCGAATTAACTCGAAATCTGGCATACTTAATAAGGACCGATGACAATACAATATTTAAAAAAAAATTGAAAAAATTGAAATGCAACTAAAAAATGAAAAATAAATAATAGTTAAAAGAAACAAAAAAAATACGCTTTTATAGAAAATTCAACTAAAAAATAGAAAAAAAAAAAGTGTGTGTGTCCGCTCCGACGCACGACTGGAGTTTACTGGATATAAAAAATTAAACGAAACAATACGAGAAATAGTTCTATATTACGACAACACGATACACTACAGATTATTAACAAATTAACGAGACACAAAACAAACGACTAACAAATATATGAAACTACAATAATGAGAGAAACGCGCGATCAGTACGAGGCTTTGTGGCGGACTGCCGGCGCAGCAGCCCGGCGTCACCTGCGATAACGCATTTCGTGTGACATGCGCAATCAGGCGCATAACGCATTTCGTGTGACATGCTAGTACGATTTTGGTCCCCATAATTTTCATACCCCGGGCCTATATATGTAAATCGATTCTTAAGGAGTAAACTCCAAAAATTAATAAATTTGAATTAAAAATAGTGTAAGAAAAAATGATTTTATGGAAAAAAAGCGTGGGATGCTTTTCAGGATATATTATATATATGTTTAGTTGTAAGGTTAGAGTTTATATAGTTTAAGTTCACTGTTTGTCTTCATAATATCTATGAAGTCGTCGTGGCCTAAAGGATAAGACGTCCGGTGCATTCGTTGTTGCGATGCACCGGTGTTCGAATCCCGCAGGCGGGTACCAATTTTTCTAATGAAATACGTACTTAACAAATGTTCACGATTGACTTCCCCGGTGAAGGAATAACATCGTGTAATAAAAATCAAACCCGCAAAATTATAATTTGCGTAATCACTGGTGGTAGGACCTATTGTGAGTCCGCACGGGTAGGTACCACCGCCCTGCCTATTTCTGCCGTGAAGCAGTAATGCGTTTCGGTTTGAAGGGTGGGGTAGCCGTTGTAACTATACTGAAACCTTAGAACTTATATTTCAAGGTGGGTGGCGCATTAACGTTGTAGATGTCTATGGGCTCCAGTAACCACTTAACACCAGGTGGGCTGTGAGCTCGTCCACCCATCTAAGCAATAAAAAAATAAAAAAATAATAATAATAAAATAAAATAAAATATAATAATATATTACCGAAATAACCCTTCTACTCATATCTGTTCATAAAATATTTATAACTACTGAAACCAAGCAGCCCAGGCTTTTTTTACAATAAAATCATTTTTTCTTACACTCTTTTTAATTCGAATTTATGAAAACTGATTTTCTATATTTTAGTTGGATTTTCTATAAAAGCGTATTTTTTAAAAAAAAAATATTTATTTAAAGTGTTCCCTGTTGTATCATCGCACGTGCCTCTCGGTTATTTAAGCACGTGTAGTACTTACATCCGTACGCGACGACCGGAAGGAGCAGTAGCAGCAGCCACGGCCACCAGCGTCTCCCGACAGCCGCCTCCTTCGCCGTCTTCTCCTTGTATCTCCGAGCGACGTACTTTTCGCTTTCGTTGGCATGGTTCGACGATACCTGAGAGAAATGAGACATTAGTTTATATGAATTTACAGAGGCATTTACGCATCGCGGTTCTGTTAGCCTAGTGGGTAAGACGCCGGATGTACTCGTTTTTTTTTTCGTTTTTTTTTCTACCTATGCTGATAGCCTTGAGAGGCTATTTCAGCTTCACCCTAACGTGCAGGTGAGCTCACGGAGCTCAAACCGGAGTGTTGCTAACACTGGCCCTAGCAAGAGCAGTGCTTCGCAGATTCTACCACCGGATCGGAAACGCGACCCACTGAGAAGATCCGGCGAGAAACTCAGTGGGCTGTGTCTATGGGTTAATTCGCTCGTCTACCTTCCCTTGTGGTACCTAAAAGCACCGTTAATGGATCGGGAGAATCCGTAATAACGTGCTTTGGGCGACGTCGACTGTTTACCATTCGGTCTACAGGATCGGGAATGTAGTTTCCAGCGTCCACGACAAGAGGGTTCTATGTCGTGCCGCCTTCTCAAAGTGATGTACTCGTACCAAAGGACTATACCACAGTTGAAGACCTCGACAAATTAGAATTGTTCGAAGTAAAAACTTAACGTTTCCTCTTTAATAATAATGAAACGTATTACAAAGGGGAATGCCCACTCTCCATAGTGTGCTAGGCCCAAGGTGGACATCAAATATTACTATAAAAATGTACTGATTCAAATTCTTAAATGTATTGGATATCTAAAAAATATATTGAAATTGACGCCACTATTATAAAAAATATAATAAAAATAAAAACTCGTTTTGAGGTTAATTTTCTACATAAATAAGTGTCGGATTGTGAGATACTTCAAGAACTTTTCTTTTCTTAATGTTTAAGATGTTCCTNTGTGAGATACTTCAAGAACTTTTCTTTTCTTAATGTTTAAGATGTTCCTAATGTATTTTTATCCAATAGGGTATAAAAAACACACTTAATTCTTTAAATATCTATATTTTCTTCATCTTCATACACAATTAGTATCATCTAAAAATAGCAAAGGAGAGCATATACACGGTTTTAAATCTCGGTCAGGGTAAAACCACAATTCCCACAATGTTTTTAGTCGTAGTATGAAACGTTATTGATAAAAGTAAAATAAATCGAAGAAAAATCAAAACACATTTATTTTGTACGCAAGCACAACACCACAAGCAGCAAGCGAAGTATCAGTCAGTCAGATTAAATTCAGTGTTGTCAGTATAAAGAAAAATAATTACATGAAATTCATATATCAATTATTTTTTTAAATAACCGATAATTGAATTATATATATTTTTTTTTTTACGAGTACACATTATTTTTTATGTTTTTGTTTTAGTTTTACATATTTAAATAACAATACTAGTAAAGTTTTTTTTATTGCTTAGATGGGTGGACGAGCTCACAGCCGCCCTGGTGTTGCTAAGTGGTTACTCGAGCCTACATACATCTACAACGTAAATGCGCCACCCACCTTGAGATATAAGTTGTAAGGTCTCAAGTATAGTTACAAGATAAAGTCCAATGGGTATGTCTTCGATGTTATTTTATGTGAATAAAATTCATTAAAATCGATTGATTAATGATAATACTTAAAATGATTTATTTATATGTTTTATTTATATACTCAAAATATTTACTTAATACGTAAAAGGTTTTGAAGCTGGCAATTTTTTTCCCGCAAAAATAAAATTCTTGTTTTTTTCAACAGAGTTACTTTTTTTAAACTACTTATTGTAAACTGTAGTGGCGCTTATTTGGAAGAAAGTAAATGCATATTTATTTATGACAAAATTAATGCACTAAGTATTTTTTCTCTAATCTATTGTCCGCTTTGGGCCTGAAATGGGCCGTCCCCTTTGCGTATTGTTATTGTTCATAGGTTTCGGGTAGCATTTTTGTTAGGGGCAAGATAACCGTTATGCAATATGGAGTCAGAACGCTATTTCGACAAAGCGACGCGACCTGATGAACCACTTTATCGTCAATTCAACAGTGAGTTTTGACTACATTTTTGCTAAGGGTAAAGTGACACCTATCGTGGTGAGTGACGGCAGTGATCTAGTCCTTTAAGAGCACTTAGAAAAGTTTATATAGAATAAAGTAGGGACTTCGGCATCATGTATCCAGTATTCACTTGGGTTTATCTAGGCATTTATAGCTAAAAAGTTTACTCACAGATTCCGTGATAGTGGTAACAGTTGTGGTGACGACATTCTTAACGGTAGTGTAGATCCAGTAGAATGGAGCCAGCGCCGCCGAGCCCGCTCTTGATACTAATCCCGCTGAAATATAATATAGTACATTGTTAAGTAGACTTAATCATAATTCCTAGCTTTACTAGACTAATGTTATTATATGCCCTCTATTATTAAGACTTTGCAGGTAAGAGGCCTGGGCGTGTCCCGTTGTATGCCGTAATCTTGTAATGAGAAATCAAAGCGTTTTGGACATGGACATGCTGTAAGTTTGTTTGTGCAATCTATGGTTCAAGAGTTTTTTTTTATATTTTTATGGATGGACGAGCTCACAGCCCACCCAGTCTTGTGAGTCCGCACGGGTACATACCACTACCCTGCTTATTTCTGCCGTGAAGCAGTAATGCGTTTCGGATTGAAGGGTGGAGCAGCCGTTGGAATTATACTGAGACCTTCGAATTCATATCTAAAGGTGGGTGGCGGCATTTACGTTGTAGATGTCTATGGGCTCCGGTAATCAATCGACACCAGGTGGGCCTTGAGCTCGTCCACTCATCTAAGCAATATAAAAATATCTATATATTAATACGTGAAGCCAAAACTTTGTAACCCTTTTTACGAAAATTGCGCAGACGGAGGAGTATGAAATTTTCCACACTTATAGAGAATAAAGAGAAGATGTGCACAATGCTAATTTTTTTTTTAATAATGCATAAAAGATACGTTAAATCAATAAAGAAAACATTACACACACTACATACCATGTATTTAACGCACACACGCATGCATACTATTTATTGTTAAAAATTTGTTCTTGACGTCTGTGTTCAAATTGAAAACAGATTAAATATTGTTTGTCTTTATTAATATTTTTCTATAGTGTAGTCTTGGCGAAAGGAGACTGAAACGATTATATACATTTTTGGGCCCGAATGTGACGTGATGAAACTAGTATGAATTAATAGATTCAGATTTATCAGAACCTTGCATTATAGTATAGTGCATTCATTACCTAGTGCACCCCCCATAAACGTGGTACTCCCGGGCAGTGCCACAGGTGCCAGCTCTATGGCCACTCAGCGCGTAATTGCCACGCGCGCCCCCGCTGCGTGAAATGCCTCGGCGATCACGCAACCACAGAATGTTCGCGTGTTAGGGAAACCGCGACGGAACCCCCAAGCTGTGTCCTATGCCTTAAGCAAGGGCACCCGGCAAACTACCNGTATGTTCAGTAGGTCTGAGAATCGGCTACTATCTATTTTTCATACCCCTAAGTGGAAATGGTTGTCCACCCCAAACATTTATTTTTTATTTTAATTTTTTGGATATTTTTTTTTGTTTATAATGAGGTATTATGTGGTTAAATGAGGTTTTTTTTCTACAGTAGAATTTCCCTAGAAATCTTATTTAAGGCAACACAACGTTTGCCGGGTCAGCTAGTAATATATAAAATTCTCGTGTCACAATGTTCGTTCCCATACTCCTCCGAAACCGCTTGACCGATTCTCATGAAATTTTTTATGCATATTTAGTAAGCCTGAGAATCGGCTACTATCTATTTTTCTAAACTTTAAGTGATAAGGGGTGTTCACACCAAAAAATTTTTTTTAACTTTTTTGATAAAAAAATTTTTTTTAATGTTTGGTGCTTTGTTGTTTTTAAACAACATTCCCTCATCGTTCACAGCGCTCCAGGCCTTTTTCACTCATATTCCACATCCTTATACACTTCCAATAAGTTAGTAATTTTTTTTCTACACTAGAAATTCTCTAGAAATCTTATATATGGCAAGACAACGTTTGCCGGGTCAGCTAGTTCTTATATAAAAAAATAACACATATTTTTAGACTACATTCCAAGTTATTACATTTTTGGCCCACGATTTTCCTTCTCCTTTGTGTTTCTAGAAGTATAATAGTCTTTGAAAATAGAATCATAATAGTGTACAAACATAATTTCAATTTATTATAGTCGAAATTCGACTGCCGGGCGACCACTAGTAAAAAAAATCGGCGAGAAACTCAGTGGGATTTGTTTTTTTTTTTTAAGAGATTTTATGACCTGGTAACTAAGACCTTTAAGTCATGTCTTATTTTACTTTATATTCTTAATTTTATGAAAAATGATAATATGGAGTGAAATGAAATGAAGATGATTAATTTGAGACATTAATTAACTGGGATGAATTTAATGAAATGAGATGATATGGGATGAAATATAATCGCAGTAAAATGGTGGTCATTTACTGAGATTTTTTCAGTGGACTTTTTGGAGGAACCCGAGAAGTTACGTCCAGCGGCTTTGTTTCATTTTCTCACACTTTCACAGATATGAAACAGTTAATAAACCACCGTTATTACACATTTAAACCTGAAGAAACACTAAATAGACAAAATAAAACAAATCACACAACTTCACTCCTCGCGTTCCCGCCAAAAAGTCAGTGGGATTTGACTTCTTCAATTGTCAAGTACCTTGCGGTGTCGGCCTTCGGTCGGTGTAGGGGTACCGGTGCGCGGGTCCGACGAGCCGCCTGTACGCGCCGCGGGTGCCGGACGCGATGCCGCTGATGATGGAGACGAACAAACTAGTGATCCACCATCGCTCGTCGTGTGCCACCACGGCACCCTTGTTTTGAATGTAGCCGGTTTCATCGTCCGAACTGTCGATAGCCTGTCGAATACATTGAATACTTGATTTGTAGGTGTATAATAAAGGGAAGATCTTTCACCGAGCGGAATTATTACTGGTGGTAGGACCTCTTGTGAGTCCGCGCGGGTGGGTACCACCACCCTGCCTATTTCTACCGTGAAGCAGTAATGCGTTTGGGTTTGAAGGGTGGGACAGCCGTTGTAACTATACTTGAGACAACAATACAAGGTGGGTGGCGCATTTACGTTGTGGATATCTATGGGCTCCAGTAACCACTTAACACCAGGTGGTCTGTGAACTCGTCCACCCATCTAAGCAATAAGAAAAAAAGCGGGTGATATTGCTCGGTAGACCGACGGTCCGAACGTTTTTCTTTATGTTTGAGAAATTACTAGTGGCCTGGAGAGTTTTTACCAAGGCAGGTGGGCGAGCAAGGGCCTCAGCCAGGAGGGGTGGGATTAGCTAACAGCTACCCGAGCGCCTCCAAAGGAGACCTAACGACTCAAGAATAGCTGCTTCGCGAATGAATCTAATACCGGATCAGAATCGCGACACGCTGAGAAGATCCAGCGAGAAACTCAGCGGGCTGATGTGTAAGTTAGGTAATATTGTTCGGAACAAGCTTATCTTGAAAATGTCGTAAGCGAGATTCAGGCATCTGTCAAATATCTTGCATTGTATAATGGCTACCCGCCACAGACTAACACGTCAAGAACTGAAATTTTTTGACCAGTTTACTAGTCATGATGGGGTGTTTTTATGTTTCGCATGGGTAAGGATTTTTGCTTATTTCTGTCGTACAGCAGTGGTAGGACGTCTTGTGAGTCCACACGGGTAAGTACCACCACTCTGCCTATTTCTGGCGTGAAGCAGTAACGCGTTTCGGTTTAAAGGGCGGGGCAGCCGTTGTACTGTTACAAATGAGACCTTAGAACTCATGTCTCAAGGTGGGTGGCGGCATTTACGCTGTAGATATCTACGGGCTCCGGTAACCACTCAACACAAGGTGGGCCGTGAGTTTACCACCGCCCTGCCTATTTTTGCCGTGAAGCAGTAATGCGTTTCGGTCTGTAGGGTAGGGNGTAACGCGTTTCGGTTTAAAGGGCGGGGCAGCCGTTGTACTGTTACAAATGAGACCTTAGAACTCATGTCTCAAGGTGGGTGGCGGCATTTACGCTGTAGATATCTACGGGCTCCGGTAACCACTCAACACAAGGTGGGCCGTGAGTTTACCACCGCCCTGCCTATTTTTGCCGTGAAGCAGTAATGCGTTTCGGTCTGAAGGGTAGGGCAGCCGTTGTAACTATACTGAGATTTTAGAACTTAGTAACCACTACACCAGGTGGGCTGTAAGCTCGTCCACCGTATCATAAAAATAATAAAAAAAGTTAATCCACCCATCAAAGCAATAAAAAAATAAGAATTGTACAGCGTCATAACGCTAAAACACTTACGGTATATCGTTTCCTGACCGTGGTGGCGGTCCACGCGCTCGTAGCGGACAGCCGGTCCACCTCGTCGGGGCTGGTGTTCGGTCCCTGTATGCGGAACTGGGAGAGCGACCGCCGGGACATATTCGGCATGGCCACCTGTCCCGGAGCGAGCTCCACGCGGTCCTTCGACAAAGGCGAGTACGTGTAGTCCGTTTTGGGGTATTTGCTGTGAATAACAATCACCATTATTACTTTACCAGCGACCCGCCCTCGATTCGCTTCGGAAACTGTAATTTATTATTGATTTCTCCACTATTTAATGGATGTTATTATGCATATAAACCTTCCTCTTCAATCACTCTGTCTATTAAAAAAAACCGCATCAAAATCCGTTGCGTAGTTTTACAGATTTAAGCATACATAGGGATATAGGGACAGAGAAAGCGACTTTGTTTTATACTATGTAGTGAAGCTTAATTGTTTTAAAAAAAATCATCGCCCCTAACCCTCCATTTTCGGATATAAAGGTTAATTAGTAGAAATCAAACAGGCCAAACTTTTAAGTTTGGGGGGACATAGCAAAGCAAAGCGGCAATAACCCGACTTATGACTTAATACGACTGGCGGAATTTACGTTACGATATCAATGCACTCACAAATAATCACATATGGCCCAATGAAAGATATTCACCCCAACAACAAACAAGAAAGATCAAGTATTGTGGCATATAAACTATAACACGATAATACCAGTATAATTTGATACACGCACAGACCGCCAACATGACACAACATGCATCCACCTCTCGTGTGAACCGCAAACAGTTGAAATTTATACTTCAGTACAAAAAAACGAGGTCTTTTCCATGACGTTTTTTACATTGATATACATTCATATAGAAAAAAAAAACACTAAAATCTAGTGCATTCTAGCACTTGATTCTGTAGTAATGTTCCACACTTATACTATGGGCTAATTCCGTGGTATGTCCTCGGCTTTGTCGCCGTTCGCGTGTGGAAGTTTATTTCTATAAATGCCAAACGTACACTTGTGTGACGGACATTTAATTTTACGTAGTCTCCTGAAAGTGGACATTTAGAGAAGTGTGAATGCATTTTTTTCAAAACTGGACCGAACTCGCCAAGTGCTTACTGCTTATACAAACGATTAAGATTAAAATGACAATATTTAAGGCTTTTGTAGAACGAGAATTAGTATTTAGTGTTCATTGATAGTTTAAAAGTAATATAGAAGAAATAATTTAGTACCTTACTGTCAAAACTTCTTCGACTGTTTCCACCTCCATAATCGCCATTAAGTTGTTCATTTTATATAAATAAAAATAAATCCTATACTATTTTCGAAATAAAACAATTGATATTTTTAAAGTTACTGAATTAATTTAAATAATATTACAGATGTCATTTCTTTTTTGTGTTTACCCACACAAATTTTTGACGTTACCGTTTCATTATTGCCAAACTTAAAAACTACAATAGGTATTATAAATCTTACTATCAATTTTCTTTATTATTATTAATTTAACGATTGTATCATGTGTAAATCAAATTAAGGTCGAGCAACATATGCTTTTAACATGAAAATACGCAAACATTAGGACTGTTGAGACGCGCTGGTTTCTCGGGTACACTTACTTCCAATACTCGCCGGCCATCTTGTAAAGTCTGGACGGCAAATGCTCGCCGTTGGGGTCCCGGTCTAGCAGAGTGCTAGTGTCGGCTAGAGCTTGCTCCGCAAACGAGCTGTCCGTTGAGCATACGCTGTAAGTGGGGCTGCCGATGCGGGATGACCTTGACGATATCAAAAATCAATTTGAATGAAATAAAATAAAGTACTTAAATCGAAATAAATAGGACGTAGTCGTACCAAAAAAGTTTAGTAGTTTTATTAGTTACATTATTGACTTTTGGTTAAAATTTGATCTTATCGTTCCCTTCTCTAAAGGCAAGATCTAACATGTTGTCGGTGTATGTACTTATTCAAGTTCTAAAAACAACTTGTCTGAGATGCCATTACTATTATACTGACAGAGCCACAGATAGCCCCCAAATTAGGATGACCTATGGGGTTATCTGTGCGTACACCAGACGCAAACTAAGATGACCTATGACCTGACAAACGATGACCCATTATATATAGACACCGAATGATTTGATGATGAGAAGACGAGCTTACGTTGGGTTTTCAGTGAATATGTGTATTGTCTTATTTTGTTTTTCTTATATTAGAATAGATAGACATTTATGGAGAGAGCTGCGGTGAAGTTACTTTTTTAGGTTTCATCATAGCTTCCTAGCTTTTATTAATCTACTGAAACCCCGCCTTGCTTCAGAGTGTCTATCGTTAAGCACATAAAAAACATCAATTTGTTTAAACTATTCATCACACGCCATCTATCCAGCGGCGACGGTATTAAGACACAAGCGGTTCTTGAAGTGGAAACAATTGTGAACATTTTCAACCCAATCGGATGGACGAATAGTTTCTGAACATATAGTGAACAAACATACAGAGTAACATCCATTTGTTTAGATTACAGTATAGAATTTTTTAGTGGCGTATATTAATAATAACTAGAGGTCCCGCAGTAGTCGAAATTCGACTATAATTAATTGGAATTGTAAGTTTGTACACTATTATGATTGTATTTTATACTTCTATAATTACAAATTTCGCCAAGACTACACTATAAAAAATATTAACAAAGACAAACCACATTCTATTCTCAATTTGACAACAGACGTCAAGAACAAAAGTTTGACATTGAATAGTATGCATGCGTGTGTGCGTCAAATACATGGTATGTAGTGTGTGTAATGTTTTCTTTATTGATATAATGTATCTTTTATGCATTATTTTAAAAAAATATTAGCATTGTGCACTTCTTCTCTATATTCTGTATAAGTGTGGAAAATTTCATACTCCTCCGTCCGCGCAATTTTCATAAAAGGGGATACAAAGTTTTTGCTTCACGTATTAATATATAGATATTCGCGAGTCGTAGACATAACTAAAACTATATTTTACGGTCCAATTTCGCGTGTATTATCTTCGTTTTAACAGTTTACGCTCACGGACGATTAGGGTGTTATCGATCGATATTTACATCTTTTGCTAACTACCGTCAATTTTTATATATAAAAAAAACTAAGTTTACGCATATACATTTCTTTGCACAGAGAAATATGTAACTAATAGTAGGTATGTCGAGTTTGTTTGAATTTCTTGAGAGTTGTTTGAATTTCTGTTTCTTCTTTACGATAAAGGCATCCAAGGCTAGCCTTAGATAGGACGGAGATCGAAACGTATTAATATTATTGTTTATTTATTCAACTAAGCATAGTCTAAGGTAAGTAATTGTCTTTTATTTTGTTAATGTTCTGTGACCGGCAGTCGAAAGCGAAGTCAGCTGGTGGACTCGCGATAGTTGATTCCACGCTGTTTATTTTTGTTTCTATAATATTGCTTGTATCTAGTACCAACATAATTAATGAGTAATAAATTAATTTTCCATCTAGTTAGTGTTATCCTGTCAATAATCATCAACACTGCGTTATTAAGAGCGATTCAGAAGCGTATTTTGTAATACGAAAAACACAGAAACTTTCCTATTTCGCCTGTAGAAGGGCGATATCGCATAAATATGCAAATAGCTGTTCCGACCTTAGATATCAAAGTCAAAGTTAACTAATTCTCTAACAAACACATTGTGTCTGGTTTTGAAAAAAAGTTACAATGCTACTGATAACGTCCTTTAATGATTCTTATTACAGAAAATTTCCATTGAGTTACTTATGCTCTTAAAATTTGTGGATTATGGCGAATTGCCTTTTTTTTCGCCAGCCACCTTAAAACAGGTGTAGTTTGAGCCGTATTGCAACGGCTATCCCATCAATTGACTCGGAAAGTAATACTTGGATGAGAAAGTAAGCTGATGGTTTTTTTTGTTTGAGAGATTACTGGTGGCCCGGAGGTCTTTCCAGTTTTACCAGCACAGATGGGCGAGTAAGGGCTCAGCCAGGAAGGGTAGGATTTGCTAACAGCTACCCGACCGACTCCAAAGGAGACCTAACAACTCAAAAGCAGCTGCTTCGCGAATGAATCTACTACCGGACTCTCACCGGAGAAGATCCGGTGAGAGACTTAGCGGGCTGATGTTTAGGTTAGGTTGCACGTCGAACTCTTTGCCGAGTTTCAACGAGTATGGTTACCGGGCTTCCTACTCCTAGTGTAGAGATCTTAGAACTTATATCTCAAGGTGGGTGGCGCATTTACGTTGTAGTTGTGTATGGGCTCCAGTAACCACTTAACACCAGGTGGGCTGTGAGCTCGTCCAGCCATCAAAGCAATAAAAAAAAATCCAGTTATTTTCAATTGCTAATTAACAATAAAATATATCTCAAAAGTTAATATTTAAAATTTTACACTGCTTTAGGAAATAATTAGTTTTTTTTTCATTTCCTAAACATTTGACATTTTCTGAGATATGCCCTTTTCGAAATTGCATATTCAACTAATGACGTCATTTCATAATCGCATTGAGAAACACAATTAAATTTCTACACGAAGAATTCACCTCAATAGATATATCAGGCTAAATATTGTGAAAAAATATTGGATCGACTCCAACTGTGCTAACGACTTAAGTTTGTTTCGTAACAGTGCGAAAAGTGTTTCCAATGTTTTTTTTTTTACTTTACAGGCAGACGAGCGTACAGCACACCTGATGGTGAGTAGTTACCGTCGCCCATGGACTTCAGCATGCCAGGGGCAGAGCCAAGCCGCTGTCTACCGTTAGATTTTAACGTTTTATTGTATACTAGTATCTATTGCAAGGACGGAGAAAGCAATTAGCGCCAGTGAGGTGCATGGAGAGTCAGATTAGTTACCGGAGTTCATAAAGACGTCCAAACGAAAGCTGCCAGCCGTTTTGGCATATGACGTAATATGCCAATGTAAAAACCAACTGGTACCGAACCATACTGCCTCATAATATCTGGACTTGGTCTTATCGGTAGTAAAACCAGTTGTTTATTACTAATTTAATCATTTACTATTTACATCAAATCAGCTTTCGCCCATTCAAACAAAAAATATAAGTACAATTTTATATTAAGTTCATATACTCCTATGATTATAGAACAATGATCTAGTCAGTGCAGGTGGCTAATAACATCACTAAACTGAGAATCAATCAGAGCACACCTCTCTAGAATAATAACTGTCGCCGAAGGACGCGATTTTGATTAGACCAGATTGTGTGAAAACGGATGATGCAATTCTCAAATAACGCGTAAATATCAAACTGAAATGACAATTAATTTCATCATTAATTGTTTTGTGTACCCTGTTTTGTGTAATGCTGGTCAAGATATTGCAGCGAAGTTACCAAATTATTCTATTGTCATAGGTCTTTGAATCGAGTACTCGTATTCAAATTAATCAGACGTTTTGAAGTCTGTGAAAATGACATTTGAAGATTCCGGATCGCACAAATCGATATATGTACATACATAAATACCTAAAGGCGTGTTAAAAATAAAGAGAAATAGCGTTGTGGTTGTTCTGTGCTGGGTTTGGGTTTGCAGACGAGAGAGACAATTGCTCACGTGCTATTTGAGTGTTTCCGAGTGGCCATCAATCTGAACCTAAGGCCATTTAAGGAACCTTAGGCCATTGCCTTGGTTGTTGCCAAAAGCGAGTCGGGACTGTGCTCGTTAGGTCCCTCCATTCATATGCAATACACGCGCAATTTAAGGGTATTGTTTTGATAAAAATTTGAAATCGAGTAAGAGTTCTTTTAAGTCAAAGTTTTTTCGTGGTCCCTTTCTCGGAACGTAAGTTCTGTTATCGAATTTGTTTACGCGTATGTATAATATGGTTTTCTTGAACTTTGACGTCACTGTACAAGATAGTGCGCTCTCAGTCTAGCATAAAATCAAATCATAGTATTTACTGAATAACGTGTTCGAGTATATGGCGCGCCATTAGTTTGTTCATTCATTTACGCAATAAAATAATAACAAATAAATCGTGTCGAATGTACAATAGACAGCTGGAGAGCGTGGGGAATACAAATCTAATAATATTCCCACAAACATATAATTATAGGGGAATATGATTTGTTACTGTTTTTTTTTTCACCAACAAAAATACCAAATAATATTTAGTGCAGCTACAATTAATAAAAATGATTATTTTGTAAATAGAGGGGGGCGTTACCGATTAATAATAATTGTTATTAATTTTAACCACAGATTAATAATAATACTCAATAAAAGGCGAAACACAAATACTGTTACTACAATATTTTCTAAGAAAATTGCTATTGTGATTTGAGCATAAAATATACGAGTTTTTTGTGCGACATTTTAAACCCATTCAGACCATTTAATTCTAAACTCGATCAGTTTGTTTGTCCATATTTCACGCAGCAAAGGAACGGAGTGATTTCTTAAAACGATGTAGTCAATGACATGGGTGACACAGACAATATGATCCGAGATAAATTGCGCGTCCTCTTTCAAATTAAAACATCGAACGCTTGCAAAACGTGGCCACCTAGTAAATTTTTTTAAGGGATTTTATGACCTGGTTGGTAACTGATGTCTTATTTTAATTTATATTCATATTTTTATGAAAAATGATATTATGGAGTGAAATGAAATGAAGATGATTAATTTGAGACATTAATCAACTGGGATGAAATGAAATGAGATGATATAGGATGAAATATAATCTCAGTAAAATGGTGGTCATTTACTAAGATTTTTTCATTGGACTTTTTGGAGGATCCCGAGTAGTTACGTCCAGCGGCTTTGTTTCATTTTCCCACATTTTGCACTTTCACAGATATTAAACATTTAATAAACCACCATTATTACACATTTAAACCCGAAGAAACACTAAATAAACAAAATAAAACAAATCACACAACTTCACTCCTCGCGTTCCCGCCAAAAAGTCATCTAGTAAATAATATAAAGTGCAAACTCGATATAACAAATCGGAGGGGAACAACTAAATATTCGTTATATCAAGTAATTCGGTAAATTGAGGTTTGTTATATTAAGGTTAGGTTCGTCTACTATTTGTTATAACGAGGTAAAAAAAATATAGTTTTATTCACCTCAACATTACGAACTCATTTGGTTATTGCGAACAACTTCTACTAATAAATGATAACGCATTTTTATCAAATTACTGTATGTATTTCCTATTTAAAAACAATTATGTAAGTAACAATTTTTCTCAAACCTATCGAGACTGATTTACATATTATAGGATTTAGGGTCATAAGGTTTTGGGTTGACAAGAGTCGTTAATTAGAGGCATTAACATTTTTTTTGATAGTTGAAAATTCGTTATAAAGAGATTGCTCGCAAGAAATCTTCGCAACGTAAAAGGTATATTTTACATTGACTCTTATGGAAAAATCAAGGGGATAACGAAAAATTTGTTATATCGAGAACGTCGTTATATTGAGGTTCGTTATATTGAAGTTCGTTATATTGAGGTTCGTTATATTGAGGTTCGTTATATTGAGGTTCGTTATATTGAGGTTCGTTATATTAAGGTCTGCACTGTATTTTCTCACCTATCTAATGAGGCACTGTACGCCGCGTGTACCGGGCTGAGCGTGACGTCAGCGAAGGTACTGTACCGCTGCGAACTTGTCGACACCCGTTCATATTGACTATTGATCTCGTTCTGTGAACAAACATTTTAATTTAAAGCTTGACTATCACCTAATAGGAAATCATTATAATTATGTGCATTTTTTATTTTATTTTTTATTGCTGAGATGGTTGGACGAGCTCACAGTCCACCTGATGTTAAGTGGTTACTGGAGATCATGGACATCTACAACGCGCCACCCACCTTGAGATATAAGTTCTAAGATCTCGGTATAGTTACGACGGCTGCCCCGCGCTTCAAACCGAAACGCATTACTGCTTCACGGCGGAAATAAGCAGGGCGGTGGTACCTACCCGCGCCGACTCACAAGAGGTCCTACCACCAGTAAAAATATTTTATAACAACCGTCTTGACTATTACTGCTTCGAGCACAGATTTGCGTTGACAATAACAAGCTTTATTACTTGTACTGTAAATTTTAGTCCAACGGCATTCTTTTTGTAGTGCTCTGAGGAATTGTTCGAGATGATACCGGCATCTCGTTTTTACCATCGCACCGCTCGCCACCGGAGTAGAGTTCATCCATACTACCTGGAGCCACTGCGGTCATCCACAGTGCGTTTCCAGAGGTCTTTTTTGCCACGTACCATCCGGCTATGGAATGAGTTCCCCTCCACGGTGTTTCCCGAGCGCTATGACATGTCCTTCTTCAAACGAGGCTTGTGGAGAGTATTAAGCGGTAGGCAGCGGCTTGGCTCTGCCCCTGGCATTGCTGAAGTCCATGGGCGACGGTAACCACTCACCATCAGGTGGGCCGTGCGCTCGTCTGCCTACACGGGCAATAAAAAAAAAAGTGCCTACGGGGCTAAAATAGCAATTAACACCCGGAGGAGTGCCTTCTTGGGTGGAGATCTTGATTTGAACGTACATAGTTATGTTATTAGGTAAAATTGTGCGTATTGCTACGTATATTCTTAGTTCTTACGTTTGCATAATATTATCAGTCTTCAAGCTATGGTATTCCGTCAATGTCACCATGCTATCTTAATCTTACTTATTCATTCATATATAATCATCATCATACATTATTTTGAGAATAATTTGATAAGCAGTGTTACGGGTCTCTCGTATATAAGCCGGATATAACGTTTTTCTGTGAAAATTTCAACAATTTTTTTTGTTTAATTTTTAATTTTCCGTGCAAACATTTCCATGGAATCCTTAACTAAAAACGTTATTAGGACTGTTATGAACTATTTAAAAGTACTAATTCAGTCGTATTTCTAAAGGGTTACGCTTACCAAGGGAACATTTATATTCTTATAGATCGTCGTATATAGTATTATTTCACTTAAACAAATAATATATTATCACACTACAGATTAAATTAACTTATAGCTTCAACTATCTAGTCATTAGTTTCTAGTGCAACTGAGCATTCATTGGTGTCAAGTAAATTAACGAAGTTATTATCGAGGCAATCTTATCAACTGACCTACGGTGTACGCGTGAGCCCATAGATAATATATCTTATGAGCGATTATGGCAATCATTAAAATAGAAAACAAAAAAACGTAATACATATTTTATTAAATATTTTTTTCTAATACTAAAAAGAGATCCGAAAATTACAATATTGGTGTACGCGTGAGCCCATAGATATCTTATGAGCGATTATGGCAATCATTAAAGTAGAAAACAAAAAAACGTAATACATACTACATATATTATTATTATTATTTTTTAATAAAAGCGATTCTAAAATTACATATTTATTTCACATTAGAAACATGCAGCAGTTGCAAAACAGGAGTATTATTCGTTTTTACAGTATAAGCACTTCAAAGGGTATTTTTTTCAAGACGTAACGTGTTATCAGAATAATTAAAAAAATGTTATAAAAAATTGTGTCAATTTAAATCGAGCACTCTGTACTTCTTTTAAAGATAAAAATAAAACTGGTTCTCAAATGAGAACTCTGACTATCAAATAACCTGAATAGGTTGATAGTTTGACAAAAAGAAAACGAATTAAGGCTTACGTAAATTACAATCCGAATATGAATTCACAAACAAAAAAGGTTCGAGGCCTTCATGCTTTTAACCTAACTAACCTACTTGTAACTATACTGAGACCTTAGAACTCATGGTGGGTGGGCATTTACGTTGTAGATGTCTATGGACTCCAGTAACCAATTAACACCAGGTGGGCTGTGAGCTCGTCCACCCATCTGAGCTATAAAAAAAAAAACACGTAACAAATATTGGATTTTTGTTTATTACCTATTTCGGTCTCAGAAAGAATATGCCTTCTAGAAGACAATACTAATACAGTGGTTTTTTCCCTACCTATTCGGTGGTAGCCTAAGGGCTATTCCAGGTATGCCCGGACGGGCAGGCTTTGCTAATTTTTGGTTATTTGCTAATACTAGCAAGAGAGTGCTTCGCGGAATCTACCACCGGATCGAAAACGCGATCCACTGAGAAGATCCGGCGAGAAACTCAGTGAGCTTAGTGATAGACAAACATAGACAACCAGACCTTAGAACTTATATCTCAAGGTGGGTGGCGCATTTAAGTTGTAGATGTCTATGGGCTCCAGTAACCACTTAACGCCAGGTGGGCTGTGAGCTCATCCACCCATCTAAGCAATAAAAAAATTAAATAAAAATGCTGCTGCCTACTGCTGAGGACGCAATGTGGATGAATGCGATGTCTAACAAAGCGATAACATAATGTGTTAATCTTGATTAAGAATCCATGGGTAATTTTATAAAGAATTCAATATACATTCGTGGCACAGTGGTACATAATAGAGTAGGTGCAGAAGGTCGACTCCGGCCGGCCTTGATTTTAAATACCTAAGCTCGACCATAACGCTAGGGCTGGCATCTACATTATATTTGTTTTTCAATTGAAAACATTATGTATCAGCGATCGCATCCTTTATCATATGTTCGAAAGGGGTGATAAAGAAACGAAAACAAACTCGTATAGTTTAGTAAAGGGAACAGAACTGATAACATTTTTATTTTATTTAAAGACCATTTAAACGCCGTCGTTGGAGAGCAGAAATGTCCCATGGTAATGATAATGGTAAATACGCTGCAATTTTTTTTTTTTGGCACCTCGTACGAAGCTGGCCTTCTGAACCTATTTTGTGGCAGAGATCATGCGAGAGCTATGTACCACTATAGTTTTTTTTTTTTAGAAGTTTTTCCTTACGTAGGCACACATACTTCAAAATCATACTGATTTGTTCATCATTGGTTAGTTGAGAATCATTTAAGCAAACTTCTAAACTTTGCCTGCTACTTAAATACAACCTAATAAATAAATATACAATATATCACGGTATATCTTAAATCTCCTTGTCTTAATCCCCGATCCTTTCGTTTGTATCGACAAGGATTGCGCAATGTCAGTTTCTTCCGCGTTCCTGCAACAGGCTTATCATAGTATCAAGGTCAACGACCTCTTAAAAACAAGACAAGATTGGCGCGAAAATTATGTCATAACTAAGAACTTATTATAAATGAAATTTTGCTTTTGAATGAGTTTTATAGAATATCAATGTAGCTGTGATTTTCTGTCGGTGACGCTACACGCCACAACATGAATAAGGCCTTTTTTCCTACCTACCACATATAAGCAATAAAAAAAATATCAAAATACCTAAAAGCTGGAGGCCACGAAGTTCGAGGGGTTCTGTCTGAGTCAATTTACTAACATCTGCTCTAGCAGATACTAATTATGCTACGTAAGCACGTAGCTACCGTGAAGAATAAATAATCGTTTTACAAAAGTCATACACAAAAAGGTGCCTAGCAGCAGTAAAAAAGCTGTATTGCTAAGAATCATGAGGCCGTCCGAGCAGGTAGGTACCATCATTGGGCCCAGTTCTGAAGCAGGCATGCATTCCAGTTTGAAGGATGGAACAATCATCATTACTATAATACAAACCAACACACTGAGTTCTCGCCAGATCTTCTCAGTCGGTTGCGATTCCGATCCGGTAGTAGATTCAACGTAGCACTGCTCTTCGTAGGGCCAGTGTTAGTAATTCTCCCAGGTTGAGACCGTGAGCTCACCTACCGATCCGCGTAACTTGGAATAGCGCCTTATGCTACCAATGATTTGATGAGATAAAAAAGCAAACCCAACGCCATCTCTTAAGATCTTTGGCTGAGCGGCTAACCTTTATTTGTCGTCCTTGTCGGTTTTGTCCTTGGCTTTTATAATAAAAGTAGAACTTTTTAGAGACGCACGTTTATTCCTTTTCTGTAGTCACAACAAGAGAGCGAACATGTTGCCAACCTCATGCACAAAAAAAAACTACTCTTGTGTTGGTAGTGTTGCCAACATTGGCAACATTAACATTTTTATGTGTATGGGCTCCTGTAACCTAACCAGTAATAGAAATCGACGCGAAAGTCTCTCTTATCGATAACATTTATATAATTATTAAAACAAACGTGCAATTAAAGCAGTCAAAACGAACCAATAAGTATTTTAATCACATGACGACATGCTTCCTCTTATAAAACATGATTTATAAGAAGCGATAAAAACTTCGTCATCAATGACATCATTGGCAACAACAGGGCAACAACAAAAAATTCAGTTTCCGAACATTCGAAGCGTTCAGTGTTAACGGAAGCATGAAGGAGCGTAACTTAGAATCGTATGATTCATCCTCAGTGTGTAGGTCTATGACATTAGGAGTTCGAGCCACAAAAACTGCGATACGCAACATTCTTGCTTTTAAGTTAGACTACCGACCCACCCTTGCTTCGCTTCGGAAACATTAAATTTTTTTATTGATAGGTGAGTCCCGCTATGTTGCGCGCGGTACGACAATAACAGCGGATGATGCCGCGGGGCGAAGCTAGTCTAAAAAAGTAGTCTAAGTTACTCCTTATATCTTCAGCCGACTATCAGTGAAAGTCCCGTCAAAATCGGTCCAGCCGTTCCAGAGATTAGCCGGAACAAACAGACAGATATACAGACAGACAGACAGACAAAAATTGTAAAAAATGTTATTTTGGTGTATGTACCATATATTTATATTCA